GGTGGTGTCACTTGTAGCCATTTTTATTGACTGGTTCTGGGTGTTCATTGACTGAGCGACAGCTGGGACAGGCGCATAAAAGCACGGTACGCTTATTAATGGAAAATGCTCGTTTCTGTCGAATAGTTGCATACTTAAGATTGAGGAGCGAAGGGTGGAGGCAGGTAAAGCTCCCTTTTAGGCCTGGGCCTTCAATCAGCGGTCGATTTGGCCCTTTCAGCATATCTTTCTTCACTTTCGTCCAATCGCGAATTAATTGATGAGATACTCAGTGAATCGTCTCAGTGTTTCTCGGGTAGTTCTTTCGAACAAGCTTGCAGTGTCTGGACCAAAGAATTACTTTCTCTCCCACTAGACACATCAAAACAAAATAGCTGGGATAAAATTAGATGCGAAGCCAATTTTACTAATTTGAGGCTCTCTCTAGATCAGCATCGCCCTGACTGTCTACTGTCTGCTTCACAAGCAGGTAGTGGCGCCTGGCTCAATGCTGTGCCCTTTTCATCTACCGGTACACTTCTAGATGATGAGTGCACTCGGGTCGGAGTCGCGATCTGTCTTGGACTCAAATTATGTGATTGTCACAGATGCAGATGTGGAGCTTCCATCGATGAGTTTGGTCTGCATCCTCCCTCCTGTCGTCGTAGTGACATGTAGCAATAAACGACATCATCAGAAAAGGTTTGGATGCAGCTGGGTTCCCTTCCCAAATCGAACCGTGGTGATGGAAAGTAGCCAGATGGCATTACCATTTTCCCTTTTAAAATGGGGAAGTCGTTGATTTGGGATGCGACCTGTACGGATAAATTTTCGGTCGGTAATTTGATCAGGTCTGCGATTGAGCCGGGGTCCGTCACCCTAGACGCAGAGATAAAAACAAAAATAGATATTCTCTTGCTGATAGATTTTTTTTTAATCCTGTACCAGTGGAGACTTCTGGGGTTATTGGCCCTCGTTCGATGAAGTTCCTTCGGAGGATTGACGCGATTGCGTCTCGATTAAGGGATGAGCCTCACAAAACGGAGTGGCTCTTACAGCGTGTCTCACTGGCGATGGTTCGGGGTAATGCTTTCTCCATCATTGCGGCTGGCAGTGGATAGAAAAAAAATTTGTGTGTGATTCCGACCAATTCTCACACAGCTCCTTAATAGGGTTTCTACTTTTCTTTGGGGAAATGTTTAAAAAAAGATTCCTACCACCATCATTATTCCAGACGGCATTTATATTTTTGTTACAGAAAAATACATACACTTTAGAGAGTCAGAATCGTTTATATTAAACAGGGAGGAGTGGGAGAATACATCCGGGACATCTTTATTCCAACAAACTCTGTTTTTAAACTTCTGCCTGAATTTCTGTAATGAAGAACTATCATTTTTTACATTATTTATGCTCGGACTATTGTCCTCGCCTTTTTTATTATTATCACAGCGTTTCGGCCCTTTTGGTTTTGATGAAATTTGTTTGGAATATATTGTGTCATCCGTGATTGTATCAGATTTTCATCACGCCAGACACTATTGTCTCGACTGTCGATTAGTTGTCCTACGGCCATTGTCTTCCATGGACGTTTCTCCAAGGAAGCGTACGGAAACAACACAATGACAAACGAACACAATTCACGAACACAATGACAAACTTTACCAGTGAGCAAATCAAATTGCTATTGACTGACTCGAAAACTCTCATGATATAAGTCTAATCGAGAATCTGTGGTCAATCTGCAAGGAACGACTTCGTGGAATGTACATACGAAGTACTAACATGTTCCCTGGGTCATATTTCATTTGAAAATACGGAAAAATTATATAATCACGGACTTATTCCTTTTTGTTTCAATTAATTTGTACATGGGTGTATTTGGTTTGCTTTGTTTTACGGCATATCGACCTCAATGGGATCATAATGCCAATAAGATTTTTATTGTTGGTAATATTTTTTTCCCAAAAATGTATTGCTGGAAATATTTTTTCCAAAATGTTTTCGAAAATGTATTGCTGGTAATTTATTTTATTCAAAAATTAATTCCTGGTAATATTTTTACAAAAATGTATTACTAGTATTAAAACCTATTTTTACACTTTCATAGTGTTTTGACTAGAGTTTGGGTGTTTACTATTTGCCCATAACTGGGAGCCTAACAGGTGCTACCACCCCCTGTCGGGTGAACCTGGAAACAGCAGCAATTAAGAGGTGGTTCCACGCTCTTCAAAACCTCCTGATCAGAGGCCTTGCTGTTGGGTGTAGTTTATCGTCTTACCCAGGATGCGGACATACTTGGGCAGTTCTAGATGCCACGCATCAACACTATACGATGCCAACATGTGAGGAGGTATCGCATTGAGGGATTTGGTTAATATGGCTTTTTTTCTGGTATATGCAAATAGGTTTGGCGATAAATGGTAATAAAGAATTGAGAGAATATGTAACATTTTATTTTTTATGCTGGGAAGCGAAGAAGCTTCTGTTGAAACTGGCGCAAATCTTTTACCAGGGTTTTTCAAAGAGAGACCTTTTTTTAAAACACGTGTGTTACACATACGACTAACCACAGCCTGGTCGCCCTTCGTCAAGATGATATGGGGGACAACTTAAAAAATCTCACCACACAATCAATGAAGATCGCTGTCGGATCAGTGATGTGATATCTGAGGTATGTGGTTTGTCTTGAAGTTCTTGCCGGCGAATCTTTGGAAAAAATTTGAAGATGAAAATCGTTGCTCTCTAATTCTTGACTCGTAGAAGATGAAATATTGTTTGAATGTGAGTCACGAATTATGGGAACAAGTTTGAAATATTTGATTTAAAAGAACCGACCCGATGTGCAAATTTTCGTAATAACTGAGACATTACTCTATTTATTGAACAATTAAGTATCATACCACATTGACTGATAAACTCCAAAACACACACACAAAAAAGTCAAATTGCCATATTAGTAAAAAAACGCACTCTCTTAAATTTAAAAAAATCAAACTTAGCGTTGTGACTGCATGCTCCAAAAGTTTGTATCCGTTAACAATAACATATTTAAAAAAAAACATATTTCGATTCGCATTTAATTTTTTCGTCTCAGATGCTATCTGGATTTTACTAAAAACAAAATAATTTCCATGCCTGAAGATGACTGTATATACAGTTGAAAGTACTTGCGTATTAAAAAAAAGACCTTATACAGCTTATAATTATTAAAATCACGGATCATAACATTCATCAAGTAATTTGTAGGTTAATGCGCCTTTAAAATTTTGTTTGCGAAAGGATTTTACTATTTTATATCATTAACTTTACTAATCTACTTTTTGTATGAATGATTCATTGTAATGAAGATACACACACACACACACACACACACACATATATATATATATATATATATATATATATATATATATATATATATATATATATATATAGACGTATATGATATATTTATGATCAAACTATCTATTTGAGGCTTTGATGCTTAATTTGATGCGTTAGCGAAGCTAGCTGACAGAGTTCGATTCCCACTGGTTGCCACGTATAATATTTGACAGCAAGTAAACCAACAAGGGTTGACATGTAAACTCAACCACCTTTTTCTGTCTTGTAACTCGGAATGCGATTATAGATATTGAGACTAGTTTGGTTATCCATTGCTATTGAGTAGTGACATTGGTACTCACTGGGTGCCTCACTGGACAAAACCAATCTATCTATAGTGATATTCTAAGCCCGGCTTAGATATGGCACAAAACCGAAAGTATGAGGCAGCCAGTGAGGATCGAACTCACTACTCAGTCGTAATTGATCTATCAAGACAAGCTTTCTAGCCATTATACTACATCGAGGTGCCCGAAACAATTTATCTATATATCTAGCGTCGTTGAGTTCAGCTATTTCGAGTTGACGTCCAGCTTGAAAGATTTTCCCTATTGTCTGCCAAGGACTTTCTGCTAACAACCGCTAAATGTTATTGTCAAAGCTTTATAAAAGAAAAAAGGCACAAATATCTCTCCTTTCTTTTTGCTCTTTATCTACAGGATAGCTTAGAGATAGGGCGTGTCTCGTTCCTTCCGTAGGGAGTTTCTGTTCCCAGTGAAATTAATGTCGCACTTAATAAAACACAGAAATAGAACAGCGTAAACTATACGAAGATTATTGACTGCACACATATCTCACCATTCTCATATTCAAAAATCTTTGTCCTCTTGTCACAACTGTACGTACAGTACGATGTATATCGACAGAGACGTCTCTCATCGCCGCGATGGTCTACTTATAATAGGGAATCATCAATCATTCGCCCGGATGATAGACATACTAAACATACGGGCAACTCAGAATGGAGCACTAACACACCCGGATGTCACTCCTCGATTCCATCCAACCACGCTAATATTATATATAGTTGCTAATAAAACAATTTCTTGTAGGATAACACAGAAGAAGGGTCTCTTCTGATGGGACGGCGTACTTGCCTTCTTTCAAATCAAAGTCCTACATGCCAGACAAAGACGAACTCTCTTTCGTCGAGAATAAGGCAAATCCTGTTCAATATTTCTGCTATTCGACTCCGGTTCCGGTTCACTATGTCTGCCAACTAAATTAGCTCCCTAAGTACTCTCTTAGGCTGGCATAAGGTTAAAGTAACAGAGCACGAAGTGAGGATCAAAAATATGGTAGAATTGTTTCAGGACGAGTGCTTTTCAACATTCCTTCGTAATAACAATTTTTCTACGGTTGTTGGAATTTTCTATCATTACACTTATATGGCTTTTATTTATTTTGCGTTAGGCGTAAGATCTGGGCCACTGGTAGCCTACCTTATGCTTGTTGAGATCAACGGTAGGTATAGAGCTAAGTCGGAATTTTGAGCTAAAATTCTTGAGGTCTATTTGTATACCAGGTCGACTTGAACACTGAGTCGACTTGTACGTCAGGTCGATTTGTACGCCAGGTCGGCTTGTACACCAGGTCGACTTGTACACCTGGTCGACTTGTATGCCACATTTTACAGTAATATAACTGTTATGAGACAGTTGCAGTATAAAACAAAAGAAAAAGAAAGAAAGAAAAAGAAAGAAAGAATAACGGAAAGAATATTATGAGCCATGAAAAAATAGGAAGAACAAGAAAGAAAGAAAAAAGAAAGAATTTATTAAAGAAGAATAAAAGACGGTGGTCGTGATGAAGAGGGCAAATGTGACAGAATAATCAATGAAGAAGAGAGGAGAAGAAAATGATGCTAAAGAATATGAAAAAGCAAAGGAAAACAAAAGCAAAAAGCAGGAGGAATGACATGATGATGAAAAAGAATAAGAGAAAACGAAAGAGAGAATTCGGAAAAGAGATAGAAAAAAGGAATAAAAAGAAGGAATTAAAAAAAATGGAAATATATCGAAAAGAAATAATGAAGAAAAAAAACAAGAAAAAGAATGAAAGAATAATAAGATGGCGAAAGAAAAAACAAGAAGAGAAACGAGAAAAATAATGACGAAGAACAAAAAATCGCGAAAGAGAAAAAAAATTAAAACCCCTAAAAAATAAGATCCTCTTGAAGAGAAAGAATTGAAAGATATATGTGAATGAATTTGAAACGAAAGCTGAAAAATATTTAAGAAAGAAAGAAAGAACACCAGAGTTGGGGAGAAAACAGTTCACATCATTACTGTCTGATGACATTTTTATGGTAGTTTTCAATTGTCTGTATCGGATTTTCGACAGGGAATAAGTTCATATGATGTGATTGTATTTTGCCTCAAGCCAGTCTTGAAGTGTGATTGCCTTTATTATTGTCTATTTATGACTGAACATCACGAGAAATGCCTTCCTGAGCCATTGTTATCAAAGATTTTGAATAGTTTTTGCGACACGTTAAAAAAGAAAAGTAACCCTTAAAATCTGAAAATCCATCCATATAGATTTCCAATGATGAGGACAGGCGTGAAATTGATACTTGCCACGAGCCGTTGATTTCTATGGCCCTATTGTTTTGTCTCTCTAATATAGATTTTGTTGAAATAAAATCTCTGATGACACCCGTTTATCATTGAAACATCAAAATAGAAGTTTTCTTTTCGTTTTTGTTTGAATTTATGGAATGAAAACTTATCATTATTTACACTGTCTATATTCGGATATATATTTATATGAGGAAAATAGTCCGAATATAAATAAATGGTGTAAATAAAAGTTTCCTATACTGCCTTTGTATATATATATATATATATATATATATATATATATATATATATATATATATATATATATATAGTTTGTTTCATGGTTAAACGAAATCTTCAGGTAATGTGTGCTTTATCTTGTCTCGACTATTTATATATGCTGGTCAATGGTGAATTATGGGTAGCAAGGCCTATTGTATTATCCTAACAGTGGTTGCGTTGGCAGAAATGAGTATGTTTAATCTATTCTAGTGGCTATTGAATAGCAATAATTGTGGACACGAATGAGGATATTTTTTAGCTATTTTATAGTATTGTTAATTTTTACGAGTTATTTATAATTGATTATAATATATATATATATATATATATATATATATATATATATATATATATATATATATATATATATATATATATATATATATATATATATGAAGAAATATAGCCTTAAGATGTGCTAAATTTATGGGATAAAGTGATCAATATCAGAGATAGAGCGTGTGTAAATATAAAAAGTAAACATAGCCGTCAACACTTTAGAGGCGACAGTCTGTTTCATGCTAGATGCAATCGTCAGGCCATTGCATCTAGCATCAAACAGACTGTCACCTCTAAGTGTTGACTTCTATGTATATATATATATATATATATATATATATATATATATATATATATATATATTATTTTAATAGCCACTGCTAACCTGAAGATCCGTTAGGTGAAACCTTGGGTAGGTAGGTTCTGGCTCACTAGGTCTTTTCTGTGACTGTTAGTTTCATATGAAGTTTCTATTTGATCTACGACACTTTCACAATCTTCAAGCACTTCGCGGATAAGATACTCTATTCTATATTAAATTTCGGAAATGCACCAATATTTGAGCATATATTTATTTTTATATTTCTTATATTGGCTGTGTTTATATATATTTTTTATATTTTACATGAAGCACCGTTCTTATAGCGTCTTCATTTTTTTTTAGAATGCGATGTCTCTTTTAATTATTTCACTCCAAGCATGGCAATAAAGTCACTAAGACACAAAGGACTGACTGAGAGTGATAGGACATTATTAAGGAGAGAAAACAATAAAAACATATATTTTAATTCAGAAAATAACGGTTGAAACTGAATTTAAATTTTTTGAAGATCAACCAATCACAGAAAAGCAAGAGGCCTGAAGAGGTTTCCACACGCGAGAAGTGTGCGTTGAACTCTTAGTTTAATATTTACGGATACATATGGCGATTTTAGCTGTAAAATATATATATATATATATATATATATATGGCCTACATATATCTGCGCTTTCATTCATAAAGTCATCCAAAAGAAAAAAAATACCATGAATATATTTCTAGAAAAGGCACAGGGAAACTACGTTATGGCGCTGGCAGTGATTGAAGCCGAAATGCCACATCAGGACCAATAATATTTCATATTTGTTTTTATATCTTAGATAGATTCTGGTGATTAAGATTGTCAAGAACGACACAGTGAAACAACTTTCCTTGCAACAAACCCAGCCATTAATTCAATATAATTTTTCTACTTCATATCAGCGAGAACATGCACTCTCTAGGAGGTCATCGTCGGCAGTGTTGATTGAAGCAGTGATGGATCTCTGTGACCGTGAAAATAGAGCAGTTTCGTTTTGGAAGAATTACAAATATGTACAGAAGGCATGGTGGTGTAATAGATAGCGGTTCGGATAGAGGAATCGGAGAGCTGAGTTCAAATACCAGTCGAATCTATCACACTCACTCACTTTGGCTAATTCAAAACCTGCGGAGGGTCATACTGTGCCAAAAAGTGTTCTGTATAAACCTTCACTGCCATAATCAAATAATATGTATGGGTAATCAGGCTTTTGATTCCAAAAACTAAGCTGCTTGGTCCTCATATGTCGGAAACGATTGTACAGTTCATTTATATATATATATATATATATATATATATATATATATATATATATATATATATATATATATATATATATATGTGTGTGTGTGTGTGTGTGTGTGTGGATAATATAAAAGGCTCAAACACTAATATTCCATGGTTATAAATTATTGCATTTGAATCGTAATCACGATCCACTTCATCAGAGCTAGAAATTAAAAATTATCTATCTATCTATATATATATAAATATATGGCCTACAAACTCAAAATTATCAGTATATATATATATATGTGCGTGTGTGTGTATATATATACATTTATATATATATATATATGTATATATGGCCTACATACATCAATATATATGTATCTTTCTATATATATATATATATATATATATGAAGAAATATAGTATTAAAGTGTGCTATATTTATGGGATAAAGTGCTCAATATAAGAGATAGAACGTATTTAAATATAAATATAAAGGTGAACATTGAAGCCAACACTCAGAGGCAACAGTCTGTTTCATGCGAGACAGTCTGACTATTGCGTCTAGCATGAAACAGTCTGTCGCCTCTGAGTGTTGACTTCAATGTTCACTTTATCATATATATATATATAGTCTACAAATTCAAAATAAACAATATCTATCTATCTATCATCTGTCTGTCTCTCTCTCTCTCTCTATATATATATATATATATATATATATATATGCCCTAAATATCTCTATATATGTATACATATGGTCTACAAATTCAAAATAATCAGTATCTATCTATATATCTATCTATCCATATATATATATATATATATACACACACATACACACACACACACATATATATATATATATATATATATATATATATATATATATATATATATATATATATGTATGTATGTATGTATGGCGAGAGATAAAGAGCAGGAGAATGAACTAGATGCTAACAACCCAAACAACACTCAAGGACTCCGATTCAAATCGTAACTCTTTCGCCATGTTGTCAGCAGATCCCATCGTTTGACGATCTCACTGCAAGCTTTAAGTGAGCAGTACTATATAAGAACTAAGACTAGATATCCCTAAATGTGGTCAAACATGGGCAGTAGTGCGAGTTAGGTTAAGTAAAAGTTTCAGTTCGAAATATCCCTGAGGATAATCCGGACCGATAGAAACAAAACTGCAGGGCATCACGACCGAAACATCGTAATAACAACAATAAAAAAAAAAAAAAAAAAAATAAGTGCTTTTGCCCGAATGTAAATAATAACCCCTTTCATCATAAACAGATGCCCCACATTATTAATAATAACCCCTGCATCGTAGGCTTTTAATAGTTAGAATTTTCTCAAATATGCCAGCCTTCTGTTGAATTATAAAATTGCACACAACTAAATAAATTATTGTGAAAAAAGAAAACCAGTAAAACATGGATTACCAATTTAAATACACATAGTATATTCATGGTATAAGCAAATTTGAAAAGTTTTCCAAGTTTGGTCGGTTAATGCCGACATAATTATGGAAAGATTGAGTTAGAATATAAACTTTGAAATGGTATATATATATATATATATATATATATATATATATATACGCAGATAGAAATACCTATACCCCTGTACAATACAATTCTATCCAAGCTTATTTATATAAGGAATGGGTGCGTATAATTGTATTCTGAAATATATATATATATATATATATGTGTGTGTGTGTGTGTGTGTATATATATGTGTGTGTGTGTGTCTGTGTGTGTGTGTGAAAAGAGAAGAGGACTACTATAGTGAATCAATACATGTAAAAATGTAACAATCCGGTATAAATATATGCATACATGTCTGCAATTATTTTTCCAATTCATTGTATAAATAAATCTGTATATATTACTATTTTACAGTCTTTACATACGTAAGTAGATAAGTATACGTAACTATATGCATATGTATGTATATATGTATAGCTGGCCACTCGTATTCGAGGATACCTGTCTACTAGGGCGCCTAGCCACTCCCTATTG